ACTTCATATAAATAATTGTTGTGTGTTGTTCATCGTAACAAAACTGTCATAAAGTTTCAGATCAGGTCAGAGGTCACTAGTCATCAAGTAATCTTCAGACAGAATTTTCCACTCTAGGATTCGAATGATGAGTGACAGGAGGAGTGACAGCCCTATTATGGTCATCTCAGCCAGAGAGGCCACACCCACCATCTGCTTAAACCTTCTACTTGTGAGGGGCAGCCAGTCAGAAGGCAGTTGGCTTAAAGGGGGAGGAGCTAAAATAGCTTGTACAGAGTACAGAGAGTAGTAAAAGTTTTAGTTAGTTTTCAGTGGAGTAAAATTAATTTTAAAGCTCCAGTTAATGCCATAAAAACAACAGCTAACGAGACATATTTGTCCAGGAGGTAATTCGATGAACATGGATGGTAAATGAAGCCCAGAAATAACAAAACCTCCTTTTATAAAAACATCACTGGATGGTGCCAAAAATTACGTGCAGAGAAAACCTTGAATAACAAATCCAACTTAACAAATGACGAACAAACCCAAACAGGGGAAAGCAAATTGGAAAAAGGTGCTTGAGTCTATTGTTGAGTCTTTCTACAGCACACAGCATGAATCACACACAAACCTTATGAAAAGTATTATACCTAATAAAATTCAGAAGACTGCAGCTATAATGAACTGGGTTTCATTTTCCAGCTCCAGCAGGCTTTAAATTACACGATTATATAATAAGGTAAAAACTGGCTATTTGTCTCATCTCTTCCTTCAAGGTGGATAAAAAGAAGAAAGAGAAGAAGGACAAAGAGCGAGAGAACGAAAAAGAGAAGAGCGCTCTCACAAAAGAGAAAGTGCAGAAGAAAAGACAGACGGCATCGCCTACGACCACGATCCAGAGATCCAGGCCAGAGACCAGGTATCGCAGCAGATTACCTGCTTTACATCAGATAAATATGTCCAAAAACTGTGGTTTATTAAGCAAACGGTTAATTAACTCTGTGTTAATTTAGGCGAGAAGCTGGGAGATAGACTGCTTTAGCCTTGGAGCAGATTAATGTGTGGCAGATGGTCGAAGGTGGAGTAACCTAACGTTTAAAAGAGACGCTGCTGGACTCTAGCAGCAGGTCTGTTAGAGTGAGACTTGGAGTTCTCAGACAGAATCGTGTTTTCCTCCTGAATGATGCACAGGAGGAAATGACGGCTCTCTGCAGAGATTCATGACGGTTGAATGTGGAGTTTCACATCGAGTCACTCACAACTTCCACATGACCTAGTTTTGTTTTTTTTATGTTGCACGCTGGGAACCTTTTTACCTTTTCCTGCACTGATCTGAAATGTCATTTCCCCCCTCTCTCTCATCTCTGGTACTCATTCTCCTGCTCATATTTCACCTCCTGTCTGCTCCTCAGCACCCCGAGGCCCAAAAACAGACCTCCGTCACCTGCCGCCCCCAAAAGTCGCCCACTGTCCCCGCTGGTGCCAGCAACAGGTGCCACGAAGACCCCCTCGGGCAAGAAAACGCCTCCTCCTCCCGGCATCAAGACCCGACCGAAACGGGCCCAGACGCCTGCCAGAGTGCAGCCCCAGGCGGTTTCTGCTGTCACCGTGGAAACGGGCCACGAACCCCAGCAGCCCGACACTTCAGAGG